TTTAGAAGCTGATGTATTTGGAAGTGAACTACTACTATGGAAATGGATGTAGAAAAAAGAAAATACTGATAAGTAATTGATTTTTCTTTTGGTGCGCTTCACTTCCGATGTTTTGTTGGTTGGTTTTTTTTTTATGGTAAAATTGGGCTGTATTATCTCAGCCTTATTAAACCAAGGCTTAAAACTCATCAATGTTATCATCATGTGTGAAAATGGGGCACGGCAAACACCTTTCTTCTGAAAGTGAATTAACACCTTAAAGATATGCCATGAAATGAGGTGAATTAGTCAGGGTTTATTGGGAGAAGCAATGTCTTGTATGACACTGGTTTATATACCTTCTACTTCAGTGCTCTTAAGCTTGTAACTTAAGTTGAGTTACACATACCAACTTTATTGATATGTACAGCCTTTTACTGTGGCATCTTGTAGAAATGGTGTTAATAGCACACTTCATTATAAGAAAGGTATCTTGAGTCCTAGTTTGATAGGCGAGGTGCAAACAGTATTTTACAAAATATGTCTGGAGTCTGAATTTTTCATCATCTTTGAGCTAATTAAAAGTCTTGAGATTTTTCTTTACTTAATGGAGATTATCGCTTCGGAGTAGCAAGGACGTAGTCCCAATGTTCATTTGTATTCAGTTCTCTAACTCCTGTCAACATCAGTATGGCCATTGGTTTGCTATTAGTATTTTCTCAAGTGCTGCCTTGTTTATATCTTAACAGCTTTCTGAAATCTGTCAAAAGATGTAAAATCATGTCTGGTGCTGGAGGTCACTTATAAGGAGTTTGAGCCAAGGGTTATTTTCATGGAGCTGTGCTTTTCTTAGAAACTTACTGTCATCATTAGTCATGCCTTAGTGTTTACCAGGACAGTCCTGTGCCATTGCAAACCTTTCTGCTAGCTCTCAAGGAAAAGATAACCCTAAACTGTTGGAAGAATTTATCAGTCAACGTAATATTCACAAAGAGCACTAGATGCGCTTGTTGTTTAAAATGGAGTTTGAATGTTGAAGTTACCTTAACAAATGATCATCCATAAAGGTGCAACTATAGTCTCTACCCATTGACCACATAAGAATGTGGCAGAAGGGTTCCTTATTTTGTTTAGTGATGACACAAACTCTGTGTGAGGAGCTCCTGCAGTGAAGTTTTCATGTTTTGATTGCCAAACATCATGGTCTCAACAGAAGCATCTCCCAGACATAGTATAAGATTATTCATCATGTTTTCTTGCTTCAGGGTCCTTATGTGCTACAGCCCATATGTGCTGTAATGACAATGCTTTTTATAGATTGACTGAAAATAAAAAGGACTGATCTACCTTCTGTATTACAGCTAGTGATAATTTCAGAGTAGTGTGATGTGGCTGTCGTTTTTTTGTTGTCTTGTCTTTAATCGTGGTGGAAGAATTGTAAACAGTGAGCTCTGAGTGTCAAAGTGCACGTGGGGAAGCAGTTTTGAAAGATTAATATTTATTTTGGGGAAAAAAAACTTGACATTTTCACTTGGACAAATATATGTTAAAATGCTTAGCCAAATTTTCATTGCTTACAGTAGGTGCTTTGATATCTTTTGTAATTTTGGAAGAGCAGTTGGCTCTCAACTGTAACTAGCTGCTTCATTTCTTTAACATAGTATTAAAATTTACCGAAAAAGAAATATAAAAGCTTTTAAAAATATATATGTGTGAAGGTATCAGCATTTAAATATACATCTACACTCTTAAGAACAGGTTCTTAAAGTCCTGAAGAGAAAAGAAAGCCAAATTTTAAAAAATGTTTGAATAGCATGCCCAAATTAGCATATGTATTGAGCTGCTGAAACAGTGTATATATGCTGTTTGATTCTCAACTATGTTCCTATTTATTCAGTTTTAGTGGTTTCACTTCCAAACATGGCCATTATTCAAGTTGTTCTATTTGAAAATACTGTTCCCATAGACAGGGAATCAGTTTACCTCTAAAGCTGACTTTTTTTTTTAAGCTTCAGTAACTATTTATACAACAGGAGGATCTTTTTTTTTTATAAATTCATAGAAAACAAACAGTAATTTAGAACTTAAGATGTTTTCATATGCAACACTTTTACTATTTATTCTATAATTCCACAATATTAATTAGTATTTATGTTTTGCTGATAAAACTCATCTCTTTTTTGCCAAGTCCTGAGCAATGCCTGGATGCTACTTTCTTCTGAGAGTCAAGTGCATATGTTGCTAAGCTTATTTTATTTTCTTATGCACATTTCAGAGGGAAAACAAAAATCCACCTCAAAATCTTGATTCTGTTGTGCAAAGTTTTAGTAAGAGTGAAGTACTTATCAATTTTACAAGTAAACTTTTTATGGGTGTTCAGATGCTCAAATTTTAGTTATTCCATTAAAATTATTTCTTTGGATCCATTCCTGATGGTGAAATAAAATTTTCAGTGTGGATGGAAACTTAATATTCAAGAAGTGTGTTCTAAGAATCTTATTGAAAAGTGCAAACCTAATTAACTATTTCTTGTGCCATAGATTTTTATTTTTCTGGTTATATTCAAAGACTGTTGTGGTTGACTTCTTTTAATTCGCTCTGATAAACAGTCTTTCTCTGACAATTTTCTGTTCTGAATGGACTTCAGCATGAAAGATTGGTTATTTAGAGATGCCTACCTGCTTGCCTCCCCTGAACTTCTTTCTCTCTGTGTATGTAGATATAAGTAAGCTCAAAAATGAAACATTTCATTTATTTTTGACCTTCCTTGAAAGCACGATGCAAGTGCAACTTTGTACATAATCATAAAAACTTATTGTGCTGATCTGTTCTGCAGTTTTAGATCTGTTGGGTGTCGATAATGCGGTAGGTGTCACCTTGAAACGTATGGTGGAGGTTATGTGCTGTGGAGTATGGTGGTAAGACGGGTCCCACATGCCCCATGGGTTGATGCGTGGATTATGAGAGCGCCGCGTGCCCTTGCGGCAGGAGGTCACGCTGAAAGCGCCGGCAGCAGCGAGTGCAACTTGTGTAGCTGATTTCTGCTGCTCTGTGTAACACAGCTGTTGGTAGAGAACAGTCCAGGTACTGAATAGCACAGGCATTTACTGGCAGCTGTTCTTGTTGGCCTGCCACCAAAGGGCAAAATACCTAACCTGTTTTTCCTTTGAAAGAATGTGGCAAGTTATGTTTATCTTGTATCTATATGTATATCCAGAATTGAGCAATGTATGTAAAAAGGGAAGGTTTTTCAGTTCTAACTTGGTTTATCGTCCTTGTTTTTCTTTATTCTGTTCATGTCCTTTTAGGTATTTATGTTAAATCAAAAAGTGAGAAGGGGGTTGGATATTGATGGCTACCTTTAAAAAAAATAGTCTCTTGTATTATAATATGGCTTTACTACTGGAAATTAATGTTGTAGAAAACCAATATACTATTTTTTCCTTGCTTTTCAAGTGCTTGTCATATTTTAAAACCCTGATGCTTGCCGAATTAAGTTGGAAACAGCATAAGTACTGTACTGTAGCAGTATATGTACCTGTAGCATAAATGTTACATCTTCTTAAATCTTGGAAGTCAGTGTTTGTATATAATTTTTTTCTTCTGGAGTGATTTTATCCTTACTCCAGTAGTGATATTTATACATGGACATAAAACCTGGCAGACCACTGCTGAACAGTATGGATCAGTGGTACCGCTGAGATCCTGAAATTATTTTTTTTAAAACGCCTTCTATGTGACTTTACTTGAGTCTCATGATCTTTGTGAGTACAGTAGTCCTGGAGCTTGAAACCTATCCTGTATATTACCAAGATTTTGGCTGCCTATATTTTTTGATCTAGCAGTTGATTTCACCCTTTTTGGAGTATCCCTGCAAATGGAATAGGTGAAACATCTTAAAACTGTTCTACATAGTGTAGTAAGATATGTATTCTGGGCTTAAAACAAAGCAGCTATAAAACCATAAGCCTTGTAAGAACTTTGTATTTCCAACAACTTAGTTATGTGGCATATGCATTTTTTTAAATCTGGGTACATTAACTTAAATTCATAGGAACAGGGAGAAATGGGAATCTCTTAATAGAACCAGTTAACATTTGTCTGCTAGGTCAAAATTGTAGTGATGGATCATAGAATCATGGAATGCTTTGGGTTGGAAGGGACCTTTAGAGGTCATCCAGCCCAGCCCCCCTGCAGTGAGCAGGGACAGCTTTAACCAGATCAGGTTGCTCAGAGCCCCAGCCAACCTGACCTGGAATGTTGCCAGGGATGGGGCCTCTACCACCTCTCTGGGCAACCTGTTCCAGTGCTTCACCACCCTCACTGTAAAAAATTTCATCCTTATATCCAGTCTAAATCTATTCTTCTTTAGTTTAAATCCATTACTCCTTGTCCTGTCACAACAGGCCTTGCTAAAAAGATTGCCCCCATCCTTCCTGTAGGCCCCCTTTAAGTACTGGAAGGCCGCAATAAGGTCTCCTCGCAGCCTTCTCTTCTCCAGGCTGAACAACCCCAACTCCCTCAGCCTGGCCTCGTAGGAGAGGTGTTCCAGCCCTCAGATCATTTTGGTGGCCTGCTTCTGGACCCGCTCCAACAGGTCCATGTCCTTTTTGTGCTGAGGGCCCCAGAGCTGGACGTGGTACTCCAGATGAGGTCTCAGAAAAGACTAGAACTCATAGAAAAGACTAGAACTATCAGATTTTTTAATTTTCTGTAGCTCTTAAATTTTTTTGACTTGTACTGAATGTATTTTGATGACAGTGGTTTCTCTTAAAAAATACCTACAGCTTAATGCTTGGAAAAAAAAAAATTAAACATATATTTGAGTCTTTGTAAAAATGATGGCACTTTTGGCTTTCCATTTCCATTATGTCTTGCAGAATCATACAACTTTTGTAACCTCATAAAAAAACCCCAAGATTTATTTACAGATTGTAAATTAAAATCAAGAAATGCAGTATTGATCTTTACAATAGGAAATATGTGCAAATATAGTAACTACATTTTGTTTTCTTTACAGAAACCACAGCCCATTAATGAGTTTTGGAGCCAGTTTTGTCAGTTTTTTGGTGAGTAGATGGGAGCAGAGAGTATATATCTCTTCTCTTGTGGTTAGTGTTTGTATGTGCATGCGTGTGTTCATAATGGTGGATACTCTAATTTTCTTCTTTTTATGAGACTTAATTTTTTCCAAAGTCTTAGATTAAATATAGCTAGAAAATAAGTCATGCTATATAAAACTTGTTTACTCATGTGGTTTAAATAGAAAGTAAAGGTTCTGTGATTCAGCTGCTCAAATGTATGAAATATTTATGTGTTCCATTAAAAGAGCCGTAATAAAACCCTCTCTTAAATGAGCAGTAGAGGTATTATTAAAATAATACTCGTAAATGCTGTTTTCCCAATAGCTTTTGCTATTGAAAATTTCTCCATCCATACTGCCAGGTGAAAGTTGTTAATTCAGTCCACTCACATTGCTTTCTTTTTGAATACATGAGAACTGAGAATATTGACTGACTAAAGAGTTGTAATGAGCAAGTTAGGTCTGTTAAATGCTTCCCCCCCCCCTCCCCTTTTTTTAATGTATTAAGGAGAATATTGTCTATAAAAACTGAGCAGGTGTATTAGAAAATGTTTGGATCTGGTTTTTTAGACTGCCCTTGGTCTGACTTTGCTGCTTAATCCTAGATTGCACCAGAAATTATCTATGGTAATACTCTTCTTAAAAACAGAATTTATTATAATATGCCAGAAATAGGTAAGTTGTAAATGAAATTAATTTAAATTCTCTCTAGTGTCTGTAGACTATGCAGTAAGGAGAAATATATTGGTTAGGAAACCTCCTGGGGCATATGCTTGCTTTTAAGTCAGTGGAGAGGAGAAAGGAAAGAGGGAGAATCTCTCAGGCTTGCTTATCTGAATTGATGTGCTGAACCAGTGTAACATCACAGTGCAGCATCAGTGGATCTTGAAAATACCTTGCTTAGCTACTGTTCTAAAGATAGCAGCAGCACTTTGTGTGCCTGTGTCATTCAGAGCTTTCATTTAGTAAAGTTACTTGTGCTGCATTTCTT